CTCATGTCGCTGGACGGCGAAGACTGGCGAGTGATCGTTGGCGTCAAGCACCTCGACTGTCACGTGAGCTTCGTTGCTGCCGATCTTGCCATCCTTGCTCGTTGCTATAACCGTCAGGTTGTGCTGAGGAAAGGGAAAGCCCGCATATTCTAAACAATTTTGGAAAAATTGCAACTAAAATTTATGCATCTATAGAACTATATCATTGGCTGAATGTAATATTTTCCGTTTTTTCCGGATTATTAATAATGTTAGCGCAAAGGGATGATATTCTGCATTGCCAACGTCCGTAAACAATGATGAATCTATTTTAGTTGGATCATATTCGTGCATTTCTGCAGAAACTTTTGCCCACAAATACAAGCTTACCAAATAATCCTTAACAAAAAAATAGTATGTCCTACCAAATATCAATTCTATCCATCAGCCACTCCGTATTCATATATAACCACCTCAATTTTCGGCTATCGCCCAATTTGTTCAGAAATGATCTCCATGCAAGTCTCAGCGCAATTTCTTCACCCAATTGACTTGCAGAAGCCCTCGCGTCGTGGCTGCTGCCCTCAACCAGCCCTCTGATGGCACGGCACTCGAGTCTCTCCCTCACCTGAGTTTGGTACTCGAAGTCGAGGGGACCAAGCAGCTCCAGGGCGCCTGACTGAGCGTCCACTCGAAAAAGAGGGAAAGCGCTGTCGCTCGCAAGCTTGTAGAGCACGGCCGCATCTGCCGGGAGAGATGCCAAGGTTCTCATGATTATGCGCAATTATATTGATTTGATAAGAAAAGTCTGCGCAACTGCCAGACAATAAGAAAAGTTAACAAATGTTTGCTGTGGGGGTGATTAATGTGCAATTAATTTCATTACTGTCTCCTTTTACAAAGTCTCGCATAGATTGACTGGTTTCTCAGGGTGGAATAATTCGACACGCATTGTGGTTCTTGCCAACGGTTTCTGGCGAGCACGAAATGTTCACTAGTTAAATATATCAGGAATAATCCAAGCATATAAAGATTTCGACCGATAATCATACAAATTGCGAGGCAAGTATCGCAGCTATGGGTTGAGTAGATAAAATTCACCAAATTACTGATGCAAAGCTCGGCCTACGCGACTGGTTCGGTATCTCATCGTCAGGTGCTGCCTCGCTCAGCTGAAATGCCAGGGAAAGTAACTTAAACTTTATACTGGGAGCACAGGCGAAAAGCCTTAACAACTTTTCTAAATAAATCTTATAAAGTGGTTAACGACGGCAAATTAAATTTTTAAAGTTTCCATCATCGGCCGAGGTAATGAACGAGGGAAAAATTAAAGTAACCCCTAGGATACAAAAAAGAATAATAGGAATAATCAAAAGCCAAAAAATAGTGAATGATTTAACGTACCTGGAATATTGACTGGAATAAGTAAAGAATTGACCGTTAGCCTATCTAAAAGTCAAAGTTTGTAAACACAGAGAAAGAAAATTTGAAATAATATTATAAGCAATAACTACTTGTTAGGCTCGAATCAATTTATAATTACAAATGAGCCCAATTCTGCAGATTGAATTTGTAGACAAAGTAAGTAATAATTTTTTTCTGTACTTGGACTTGCTTCAGATCTGATAAAAAATAACTTGATTATTACTGGAAATTGAAATAGCAATACGATTTAGGACCATATTTATATAATTGTAATGTTTGTTAATTTGTTCATGAATCAACCTGCTTGCCTCGTTTGTCGTCAAGAAATTGCGGGAAACCATTAAGAAGAGTTAAGCTTTCGTTTTTTTCACGGCTCAAAGTTAGCCGTGCGAACATATTCATTCCATAAATAATATCACGAAAATTCATTGATACAATAATATTATGGTCGCATCTACTCTTTCTCATAATGAACTCTTCACGAGAATTAACTTTCATTGATGATTTATATGAGTAAAACATTCAATGCAAAGCAGATTGTTTACGGTGGATAAATTTGTTCAAGATTTCTTCTAAATCTTCAAGGCCTATTGAGCATATTTATCGTGGCGTAAAATTACATTATGTTAAAATAATGATTACACTGGTGCCTTTAGAGAAGCCGACCGCGGCGCTGAACAACATTCCCAAGGCAATCTCTGAGGGTTGATGTAATTTTATTTCGAAAAGCTTTCAGGAAGCACGAAGTTTAAACTTGCGTGCAAAATATGCAGGATAAAAAATTCGATCTATATATTGACAAAATTTTTCACCGATATCTAAAATGCTAAAAGCTTAACGGTTATTGTTGAGACTGCTTAAGCTGTTAAACATAATAATAATAAAAAACTAAATCTCAAACTTTAAACACCTTCTATATGCCGTAATTTGGATTTGAGCAAATAACGTCTAAAGACGTGGGTCTTTAACTTACAAATCACAAGAGGCTGACACTTCTTTTAATAAATATGTACAGAACACTTCAAATGTAAAATAAGATATTTAACTGGAGTCTGACAGAAAAAAATATTTCTTCAAGTTTCATAATTCTAAAGATAACCATGCTTTGAAATATCAAAATTGTAATTAGACGATCAGCATCTGACAATTCTGCGCTTATGCTACAGATATATTTTGCCGAGTTAATCATGATTATAGCCGCATAAATGGAAGGATACATTTTCATCTAACACCGAACGTTCAAGTGTATTTTGTGATCTAGAATCAAGAAAACAGAAACCTAATGATGGTTTCTACAAACAGTAGAAAAGACAAAAATTACCCGGGATTATAGACTACAAACAAAAGTTACTTCATAGGTTAAAACTACGCACAAAAATGTCCGTACCCTCGTCAGGAGAAACTGCCTGTAGTAGAAGTATGGTGCCCGGGGCGGCCGCCTCAGAGACCTGGACTACGTAATTCTTCTGGCTGAACTGAACCGACTGGCCGCTCATGAGCTGCGTCACTGCAACGCAAGGTTTAGTCTGCAGGTTGCGTTCAAATTTGAACTGAGATTTACTTATTTGGAGCTTTATACTGAGAATAACATGCGAATAGTGAATGCTAGATGGTGCAGACTATTATTCACTTTCACTGAGAATTCCCCTTTATTCATTCACAAACATCAATTCCCAGTTTTTTTCCTTTATAACACTCAACTAAATTGTTCTCAAATAATGTAAATAAGTCGGTAAAAATATGAGTCAAAGCTCAAATGGTAGGACAAAGGCAATAAATAGATTTGAGTGGGTTTATACGCAACCATGATAGAATGTTTGATTTTTGTATTCCTTACTTAGCAACGAAAGCTCAAATTTCTTATAACTTGAATTCGAAGACCAAAAACCCGAATTAACGGCAAAGATTCCATGCTAGCTGTACAATATGTTTTCATCAATTCTTGTAATTCAATTATTTAACTAGCATCAACCTGTCACTAAATCATTACTGAGTTAATTCAGTATCGCTGCTTGCCTAAGAACAAGGTTTAAACTTTCCGAATAAATCGATGGATTGACCTTAATTAGGAATTCAAAAGACATATTTTCACGCTGTAAGTAAAAAAATGAGTCGAATGCTAGTGAAATTCATTTTCTGTCTTTTATCTCTAAAGCCATAAAAATATTCATATGTTTTTCTACACTCAGTTAGAAGAAAACTTAATAGAAAATTCTCCACAAAACTGTCGCTTATAACAGTCAACACCGGCGCAAAAAATGAAGCAGCATGATTGCCATTGCAGATGGATCACTTGTTTTTATTTCAGGCAGCCAACAATCAATCATAAGAGAACGATCGTATTCATGGAGGTTGCTGCTGATAAAATACGAAATACTTTTATTCTGTGGATTATATATACGAGTGTTCAGGTATCGGATAACTCGAATGTAGTAAAACATTAGAAAATTATTTAGAAATGCATTAAAGAAATAAAGAACTTGTAGCTGCATTGACTTTAAATATAATAATGTATAAAGAGAGCTAATACGAAGTAAAAATTAAATCTTTGATCGTTAGGTACCATCGCTTCCCGAGAAGTTTTTAGTAAAAAGTACGAAGGAAAATATCGAATTGGTTTACGTGAACTTATTAAAAATCTAAAGTTGCAATTATGACTGTTAAAATCTTTTTACACCGATGTTTCCGTAGAAATAAAAAAAATATAATCGCATCGGGAAAAACTAAATTCGTAAGCAATCACCAAATTGTGACGCAGAAAATTCAGCACATCAGCAACCTAAATACGAGTCCAATTACATTTTAGTTAATTTACACTTTCATTAATTATAGCAGATGCGTATATGTGATCATACGCAACGCAAATAATATATATAAAAATTGTGATCGTTAACTATAAAGTAACAACACTCTGGTATGACCAACTTAGAGCGTCTTCATCAATAACTCGCTACGTTGATCTGCTCTTCATTTCTAAAGTTTGTGTTTGTTAAGGTGTTAGATGGCGACCTTGAAACTTGCCGCCGCACACACTAGCTGTTATTCTAATAGCTGTTCATCAGTAACTCGCTACGTTTATCCACTCTTTTTAGCGCATTTTCCAATTTATAAAAAAATGCACTATTATGCTCGCCATGTCCGTCTGTCCGTCTGTCTGTCCGTCCGTGACTTCATGTTTTCGTCGACGAGAAAATGCGCTCTCTATCACTCACTGCACTGAGTACTGGGTTATATTTTTTCTAAAGTTTGTATGTTTGTTAAGGTGTTAGATGGGGTCGTTGAAACTTGCCGCTACACACACTAGCTGTTATTCAAGTGCGTATCCACGATACCTACATTGTTGGAGAATGGCCGGGATCTGTAATTTACAGAAGTGGAATCATGTGACCTTTCAAATCGTTGCGTTGACAACGGGGGTTTGAAATAAGAAATACTAATTATATGCTGTCATTTAGTTCATTAATATATAGTGAAAAATTCGAAACTCGAATATCCGTCAATCGTCTTTATTAATGTTTGATGATCATTTGATTTTGATTTTTGTTGGATGGGATCATTCTCTTAATTATTAACAGATGATAATTATCAACATTCCAATTCTGTTTTATAAAAATCTCAGTATACTTAATCCGAAGCAATGGCTGCTTAAGATCACTCGGAAAACGTTAAACCATTTTACTAATGTTCAGGACTTGAATATAATGGCTTCATTTGATGTAGAAAATTTGTTTACCAATATACCACATCTTCAAACAATTAAAATCTGCCTCAGTTCTTTGCTTAAAAGTGTCACCAACAGTGTCATGGGTGTGAATCGCAACTGTTTTAAATCTCTTCTTGAATTTTCTGTATTAAGATCAATTTTTGTATTTGCTGGCAAATTTCGTAAATAAATTGATGGTTTGGGCATGGGTCCCTATCCTCTTGTCAATACTTTTGCTAACATTTTCATGTGTTTTCACGAAGTCACATGACTGGCCAATGGTCCTCTTGATTTTAAGCTAATGTTCTATTATCGATATGCAGATGAAATTTTTTCTTAATTTTCATGCATCCATCTCATGTAGGCTTTTTCTTTGATTATCTTAATCTCCAGCACTAGTCCATCAACATTGCCATAGAGCTTGAATACACCAATAGTTTTTCTTTTCTTGACTGCAATGTCACAAAGTAAAATGGCCGTGTTGAAACATATTATTACCGAAAATCGATGTTTATCGGGTTAAGCACGAGCTTTTTTTAGCTCTCTTTCGTTTTAAATTAAAAGGTATTAAAACGTTAATAAACCGTGGCTTTCGTATTTGCTCTACTTTCCATACTATCCACTCCAAATTAGAATTTTTCCGCAGTACGTTTGTAGGGAAATTTTTCCCTACGCTGGAGGTAAACCTCTTTTAGATATAAAGCTAATATTTCAAAAGGATCAAAACAAATAGAGGCCAATGAAAGTAATTTAATCAGATGTAATCGTCGCATGGAGTTCAGTTATAATCCCAGACTTTATCGTAGGTCTCTCGAAATGTAGAACAATTTAGAAGTCCAGGCGGTCACAGAAGACAGAAGCCGACCAGTATGTATACTGTGCGAGGAAAGGATTTTATTACTAACGCGCTTGAGGACAAATACTGCTAAAATATTCAATTACGGAAATTCAACGATTTTATTTCAAGGTAGAGCTCACCTTATTAAATTAGAAATAAGTGCACTTTTAGTGCTTTTAGAAGTGAACTATAACAGAAGTTTGCTGTTTGCAATTTTTCAAGTTAAAACGCGGCTGCAACAATGGGCGCAAACCGCACCACTTGAACAAATTTAATGGCCGCCACTGTTCCACAAGTTAATATGCACCACGAGAAATGAACACTTCGGCATTTCAGTTTAAGAGAAGTTAAGGTCAAGTTAAAGATTTAATGGGACCCGCCAAACAAAGATTAAAAATTAAGAATTTAAGGTATTGGTCAATTAATTTTAGTTTCACGTTAGGCATTCAATTCTTTAAGAGGTAATTATCACAGAGCCTGACGGGCCTGCCAAAGTGTTCAAAGGAGGTGACAAAAGCATGCACCCAAAATAAATCAGTAACTCGGCAAGGGTTGTGCACAACAAAATAAAACCATTAGTAGTTATACACGAGAAAAATGTGGCGCAAAATCAAGATCAATGGGAACAGTTAGGACGGCGGATAATTTAATGAGATACGTAAACATTTAAAGTAGCTGTTTTTGAGAGCTGCGCCTCTGTCTTATATAGAGAGAGTAAGCTCTACTTCTTCGTTGGAATTTTCAAGTAGCCAGGTTGGGAAATTTTCCCAACACGTTTTCACTTAATGCCTCAGTTCTTTCCTTCACTCCACTTACAGTTACAGTAGCGGACGACTGGCGTGGCGGCACTCCGTGGTCAGTGGCATGAACCACTAGGCTGTGCTTGCTGATGGCCTCTCTGTCCACTAGGCCGATGGTCCTGATGGTCCCTGTGTGGTCGATGCCGAAGTGAGGGCTTGATCCTCTCCTACCAGCGAGGTTGTAGCGAATCAAGCCATTCCTGTTCTGTGTTCTCGACATAAAGCGGTTCTGCGTTGTATTCTTGTAGTTAATGCAGTCAGGAAATAATGCTTGAGGGTAATGCTTGAGAACTATGAATAAAATGAAGTTATGAGCGGAAATAAATATCGCTGGAAATATGTACATAATGATTGGGGCTATGACATGATGAATTATATTACAGATCATTGCTGTTGGGTTGGGAATTAAAAAAAATGATCATAGTAAAATTAAATCGACTATTCTATTTATAGAGCTGAATATATAGAGTGAATGAGTGAAAAACGTGAATGTAATCAATTGGAATTAAAAAAATATTACTGTACAATAAATCAGATAAGAAGTTTCGAATTACAGGAACGAGTTTGGCATCGTCGATTCTACTGTTTTATATATTTTCATTTGCCTGACTTAGCTACACCAAATACCTTAAGCTAATGCAGCCAAATCAACATAAAGCAATTCGCTTGTGGAAGAACAAAAGTGCTCTTCGGCTGCTCACTTGGTCCAGATCGAAGGCAGGCACTTTGGCCACCACCGTTCCAAGTGGCGCGTCTTCGCTGATCCGCACGCTTTGCTGAACATTTTCGAATGATGGAGCGTTGTCGTTAACGTCTAATATGCGCACTATGACGGTTGCTTCGCCCACCCTGTACTTGTTCTCCCATGCATCCGTTCCCTAAGACATGCAAAAAAAAAATCAAAAACCATTCGGAAGGTATACCTTGAAATTTGATCTTTATACCTTATTCATTTTCACCACCCAATAAACTTGGATAATCTAGCTAGAGTAAAACGAACAAATATAATCGGCCGCCAGAGTGGTTTGCATGGTGAAAAGTCAAGAGGAAGTATGTAGGTTTGCATTGTATAGCATACCATTCCTCGAATATCATTCATATACGATATATTTCTTGATTATATATTTCAAACATTATCTCTACATAATTGTAAGTAAAAAATTGGTTGCATTTCGCATTAAATCTACGTCTACGGAGACGATGCTGTAGACAGAACAACAAATACAAGACGACATCCGAAACATTGAGAAATAAATCATATTAAATGAATGTGTACGAATGATGCTCGTATAATCAAGTTACGGGGCTGGAATAGCGATTTTTGAAGAGAACAGAACGACTGAATTATCGTGTTTACATAACAACATTATAAAGCAGAGTTTCAGTCACCATAATATGGTCAATGCTATTATATAATCTTAATTGATTAATTGCCTGATCGGTGACTTGAACTTGGAATCTCAAGCCGTCCTTCAGGTCAGGGTTTTCATAATCAAGAGGGACCAGACTCCTGAGCTCAGCGCCATCACCAGCTGTTCTCCTTTCTATTTTCACCATCTGCCAGCCCCTCCCACTATACGGAGCTACCTGAAGGAGAATATGTTAAAAAAGGTTTTAAAATTTTAAAGAGACCATTGAAAGAAAGAATGAAATGCACTTGCTTGCGTTCTAAAGCATAAAACATTTGGTTGAACAAAACAATTCTGTTATTCGAACCACAGTTTCAACTCTGAAGGCATAATCTGAAGAATAGCAGGATTGAACATTACAAAAAAGTTTTTGATTCTTATCTCAACGCAGACAAAATGCCCAGCCTGTTGCCTTAAAACTCTCAGAATAAAATATTGACATCAGTTGAGGACAGACATGGTTTCTCTATCCCATCATGTCAAATTACAAAAATATGGTAAGTTTCGGTCCCATATCATATGGCTAGAAAAATGAAAACGACAATACTGCCATCAGCTCTGAGCATTGACGCGAGGCCTTATTTGCTCATGATATTAAGCTACATCTAAGGGCTGTCGAAAAATGCACCGAAAATTTTCAGGTCACAGAATTTAAAAATTGAAGTTCAGAAATTGAAGAGATCTCAGTGTAATGATATTCACGGTGACGGTCGGGAGTTGTGTTATTGTGTAGGCAAATGTTGTGCGGAAATTCAAGGAAACATATTTTTTGCCTTGGCGTATTGAGAACTGAGAACCATTGGAACGAATTTTTTTGAACATAGATGCATATGTGGCATCATTGAACAGCCCTGGAGCTACATAAAGGTGGAGAAATGCGTCGAAGGAGGACGATGGCCGGGACGTTTCCAAGTTTGTCAGCCCGCAACCAAGAATTGTTTGTCAAAGTAATGAACTAAATTATTGAATAAATGCTACATAAAATGGCATACCCTCCTTCAAATTTTATTCCCGATTACATTATCACGTAATGAAAATTCCCGAGAAAACTATCTAAAAAATGTTATAATTTGTATTTTTAATCACTCGTCAGATCTCTATGTTCATTGTATAAAAACTGTATAATTATAATTAAAATATTTATTGCATATCCCGAAAAAACTGGGAACACCTTAATTCATGGTCATTAAAGTAAAAATGACATCAAATTGCCGTAAAACCTTTGATGCAACTTCTTATTCTCGTCGAACTACTCGTACGGAAAATTTCTTATAAAATTAACGTATTCAAAATATTTATTATTACGAAATCTTTTAACTAATTTCAAAATTCAAGTTCAGAGGGAAACTCATCATTTCCAGACCGCATAAAAATATCATCGCTTCATTTACTGTTGACAGAAATTAGTCGTCTCCTAAAAAAAACGAGTCAAATTACTCGTATGATACAGATGACCCGTTTCTATAATATAAAAATTGGAATCACATAAAAGTTTAGCTTCGGTCAACCTAATTCGTGCAGTGATATATTGTAGTTGAATGCAGAAATGAATACAAATTAATTACGTATATAGTGCCATCGAAACTGTATTTGACTACAAACTTTCTCAACGGCCACTACAGACATTAAGGCCTGCAACGAATTGGAATCAATTAAAGCTAATTATTGCTCATAGACCGAGCAGGCATTGCAGAACTGAGCCTCTACAGCCTCAGACATCGCGCGCCAAGTTTCGTTTGAACATTGCTCGACATAATTATTCAAATGCGATGCATCCAATTTCATTGAGGAGCAAATTAGTTTAATTTATAATCAACGTTCTGCCAGTGTTCATTAAATCAAACAATTCGGATGAGTAAACATTTGAAAGGCACAAATTCTGGTAGGATCGAACAAAAATCCGCGGAGATGACTCCTAAGATTTAAGTATCTCTGCACACAAAAGTTGTTTAATGTTGATAATATTCTCAGTAAATTGTTAAACGGCTTCACAGTGAATGAAGTTTACATTACGCTGGCATTATTATGGTCTAGATTTTTGTCCTCATTAACCTCTTAAAACAGCAAATTTGCTAGTCGAAGTAGGTACAGTGTATAATGATCTTTCGTGCCGAGGTTAAATAAAGATCTCGAGTTAACACAATTAATTTTATATTAATGAAAAGTGAACACTTAAATTAAGAAATCGAACAAGTTAACGCGAACATGGGCATCGTAATAGGGTACAGAACTCTCTTCTTTCATATGCTAGGGCATAGCAAAGTAGAGGTTTCTCACAACACAGCAACAAATTATATATGCACAACACTGAATCTTCTTGATAGCTTCTTGTGATCTATCCGGGTTGACTTCTCCCTACATGAACAAAATCAAATTTACAATTATTCGGGTAAATCCCTACTAGATATCTCACATAGTATCAACACACCAAATAAATAAAATATTGATAAATATCGATAGTTACACATACCTCTGCAGTTGTCTGAATTCACTAAACTAGTCCTTGCTTTGGTCCCACAACAAGTCAGCTCTGAATTCTTACACTGCTACGAGATCGTCAACACCTTAACTTATTCTACGTCCCACACATTAGTTACTATTGTTCTTATTCTCCCTCCGTTTCCTACAGTACACCTGAATATTCAGCCAAGATCCCTACATACAGCAAAAAACATTCAGGTTGGTAGGAGTTTCAGTTGAGAGTGGTTAGTAACATCTAAAAGAGCAATATAATTCCGAAAATATTCCTAAAATAACTTACGGAGATGACGGTAATAGTAAAGCAAAAACTCAAGATTGGACAATGGATTGGACAATGAGAGGAACAACAGGCGTGTAATATGCAATGACTTGTCATTATAAAAAAGAAAGAACAGAAACTACCATCTCAGATGAGCAGCTCTGTGAAGTCAACTTTTCTTCATGAAGTATAACAAATTCAACAAGATAAAACAAAGATTCCTGATGAAGTGACATGAAGCAACGTAAATTACCCTGTAGGCCAAACTGTTGCGAGTGTCGGGGTCCTTAACAGTGAGGGTAGCGAGAACCTGGTCGAGGGGCGCGCCCTCGGTAACCTCGACTGTCCACTCCGCTCGCCCCCACCGCGGAGGAACGTCGTTCTCATCCGCCACTAACACCAAAACTTCACAGGAACCTTGGGCGAAAAATGGAGTCGGGTGAGTTGTGTTGGCAGCAGGAAAAGTGTAAAGTTATGAAAAACTTAAGAATAATAGATACCGAATATATTTTTGGCGGAGAAACAGAAGAAAAAATAAAGATTTTATGAGAATATAGTTTAAAAAAATCATCATACACTATTATAAATAATAAAATATTTATTTTATTCTAAATAAGAAGACGCTCACAGTAAACGTCTGTCTTTAAAATAACTCTCAGGAATGATTGCTATATAAATATCCACAAACGGCATTTTTGCGGAATTTTCCAAATTCATATTATAGAAAAAACTCTAAATTACGCAATGCAGTTCATAAACAATTCAATGCGGAGCTCATATACAACGACGGTGGTTAGGAATTGAATGCAGTCTTCATGTTTAACGATACATTATTCGAGTCATAAATACATATTATTCTTATTGGTAAAGAGTATGGACGTGGAAATAAATCTTAGCAAATCATTCATCAAAATGTTTTCAATATTAGTCATGCAGTGATTGTTGTCATAAAGAATGCAAGTACATACACTGTTTATCATTTATAATTTATTACAGTGAAATTTGTCATATTATGAAAATTATTCACATTGAGCACTGGAAATACTTTTTGAAAAGTAATCTGCAAGTAGCGTTTAAATTGTATTTCACCTTATCAGTGTAAAATTGCTTTAAAATTAACATTCATAATTCCGTAAGATATATTTCGTTGAAGTAGACAATTACTAACCTTGCAATCCACCTCCATCTGTAGCAGCAACAGTTAGGCTGTAATGACTCGCACGTTCTCTGTCCAGACAACACATGGCTGTGCTGATACTGCCTGTCGAAGCATTGACGGTGAAAATTGCCAGGCCAGTTTCTTCGTCCACAGCATTCTTTTGCAACGAGTAAATCAGCTTAGAATTGGACCCTTCGTTCTTGTCGTCGAAGTCTTCGGCTGTTATCGTGACTACAGGCGTGCCTGGTTTACGGCAGGAAGCAAACGAGGACGGTTATGGCGATGGCAAATTCCCAAGCGACGAGCTCTGACGGTGAGTGCAATATGTTCAAAGAAAGTAACTTTAAGAAAGAATCAAAGCACTTGTGTTTGCAGAGACTAAAATGCTCTATAGGGAAAATGATGCCTTCGCATTCCTCAATTGCACGAAATTCTTTGAAAGCGTCGCGACGACGTTAAAGGCCTCCATTAGAATAATGCACTGACGGTGCATCTTCAAGATGAAAGGTTCAGAGCTTTTGCAAGCTGTCGATTGCTGCCGAACAAAGGAGCCTTAAGGGCTTCCCAGCTCATGAGAAAAATGCTGTCACAGTGAAGTCAGCTTGATCCTCTGTTGCCATTGTCTTTAAAGGCACTGATCGCAAAATATTCCTGTATTCATTATTGTTATTATTATTATCTTTATTATTATTATTATTATTAATATTATTACTATTAATGCTATTATTATTGTTAACGAGTATATTAATTTAGAAAAGTTTAAGATATTAGAGTTCAAAGTAAAGTTTAAAGTTTAGTTTCTATTAGCTAAAATGAACACATAAATTAATGTTGAAATCACTTCATTAATACTTCATTCATCACTTCATTAATAATACATTAAACGATTACCAACAAAATCTGTGATACATTTTATAATACGTTCGTAATTGTCAACGAACGAGAAGTAGTTTCCACAACCATTGAATAGGTATAAACCTTGAGGCTTGTTCACCAATATAATCACAATTTATAAAAAGAATCAAGAGAAGCACAAATGAATTCCACTCGTACTACAAATTTATTTTTATCCCAAGACCGTGAACGGATGGCTCCTACAGCCAAAAACTCACCACTAGTAGAGTTCTCAATAACCGTAGCCTCGACACGTGCTTTAAGGAACACGAGGCTCCTACAGCCAAAATCTCACCACTAGGAGAGTTCTCAATAACCGTAGCCTCGACACGTGCGGTAAGGAACACGAGGCTCCTACAGCCAATGCCTCACAGTAAGGAGAGTTCTCAGTAACCGTAGCCTTGACACGTGCAGTAAGGAACACGGGGCTCCTACAGCAAATAACTCACCGCTAAGAGAGTTCTCAGTACTCGTAGCCTCGACACGTGCGGTAAGGAACACGAGGCTCCTACAGCCAATACCTCACAGTAAGGAGAGTTCTCAGTAACCGTAGCCTTGACACGTGCGGTAAGGAACACGAGGCTCCTACAGCAAATAACTCACCGTTAGGAGAGTTCTCAATAACCGTAGCCTCGACACGTGCAGTAAGGAACACGGGTGCGTTGTCGTTAATGTCTTTGAGGTTGACCACAACTTCGGTGTCGGCTTGCAGCTCCCCGTCTGACGCGGTCACCACCAAGCGCCACGTTGCACGCCCGTGAGGCGGGTCGCGATCTAGGGGCTGGTGAAGGTGACAATGTTATGGAGTTCATCTTTCCTGGGGAGATTGACATATTTCGAACAATCGTTTGGCAATCTAGGAATAGTACAATCAGGATCAGAAGATTGCACTTGTAGAGTAATTCTCCATAATAAAATTATAAGAGGAAGTCAGTAAATTAACGAAAACGATTAAATAGTTCGAGAAATCATTTTGCGCTCATATAGTATTAATCAGTGGCTGCTGAACCCGGCCCTGCTTTGGATGGATAATCCCTGATATATGTAAATTCTGTTATGAAATCCCATTCTTTATATCGATTCCTATGATACGGTTTCCTATACTAAAATTCTCACTGATTTGGTTTTCAATGCTACGTCAGCAATTTCCAAATTTATGTAATGCATATTTAAAATATCCGTTTTAGAGCTGGACTTTTAACCTCTTAAAAAGACCCGTTTGGTCCTTACGTGACATGGAATTTCCATTATAAATTTACTTAATCCCTCCCCGTTTTATAATGTCTCATAGTTCCATTTATATATACACACACAATATTTCCAGCATCATTATTTAAACACACAAGTATTCACAGATATTTTTTATTGATAGTTGTGATCCTAATAAATATTTCATTATTCTCGAAACGCTGTCACTTCGATGAGCATATAAATTAAATATCGATAAACGCCACAACATATCATCGAATGGCCAGCAAAGATGAAACAATTCCCACCTGCATGACTTTTATGGTGCCTGTGACCGGATCAATTGTGAAGGCAGCTTCTTTTCTCTTCTTCGATGAATGAGTGTCATGAAAATGTTCATTTTCCGAAAGTAATTCTGGATCTATAGAAGAGAAGTTATGATTGCCTTCACTGGGGACTGTGTTATGCAATATCTTAGAAAGGCCTTCAACAACTCTATTAGAATTGTGTACGGCTGATTCTGGGATATTATCAGCAGAAACCCGGACCTTTCCAGCTATATTCGTTGTGTTTATTGCACTTGAGTCGCTATTTACAGTCAGTTTATCGCTATTTAGTTCTATTTGATGACTCGCTATGGATGCATTGACACCATTCACTGCTACACCTCCTGGATCCAGGAGAGGTGGTGACCGGTAATGTCCTTCGTTGTTCATAAACAAAGTCGCAACTCTGCGCTCGGTATTCGGTTTATGCTGTGCGGCTCGGTCACGGTGCATTTTTCTTCGTCGCTTGGGGCCATATTCGATCGAGGAGGATGCGGCTGAGATCTTCATGCCGGGGAAATGATCGGAACTTGGGATGTTATCAGAAGCCGCGGTACCGTCCCCAGAAATAGAATACCGCAGCACTCCCCACTCTCCCTTATCTCCATCGGTAGCTGTAACCTGCCCACGAAAAAGTTTTTGCGTTGTTTTTACGATTAAGTGTGAATAGAGTTGACAGAAAGCCCTAACTACGACAAAAACAACGGTTATAATATCATGGAAACCTAAATAGGGAGAAAATATTAATGAACGCAATACGATTTGCACGGTATACAATGACAAAAATCCTCTTTTAGAATAATCCTCCAAATTATCCCTCGAGTCCCAAGCTTACTTTATAATATCACTATTAATAAATAAATAAATAATTTAATTGAAATAAAGCTACAGAAAATACCACAAAACTGCTCAATATTTTCAAGATTCGAATAAAAATATAAACGGTTTTGAGGTCAGCGTCATCATCTATTCAGTCAGTGACTTAGTCTTCCAATCGCATCCAGTGAAGTCCGGTGGCCGAACTATCCAAACTTGCTCAAGTACACGTAGCGGCCTACGCACACGTAGCGGCCTACGCACACGTAGCGGCCTATGCACACGTAGCGGCCTACGCACACGTAGCGGCCTATGCACACGTAGCGGCCTACGCACACGTAGCGGCCTACGCATACGTAGCGGCCTACACACACGTAGCAGCCTACGCACACGTAGCGGCCTACGCACACGGAGCGGCCTACGCACACGTAGCGGCCTACGCACACGTAGCTGCCCATGCACACGTAGCTGCCCATGCACACGTAACGATTAATTTCTCGTCTGTGATTGATGAGTTTGGCTTGAAATGCCATCAGTGATGGGTCGATAGAGCCAAAAAATCTTGACTATTTATGACTCTATGGCCACAGTCCGAGGTACATTTTGCGTATTTTATTCGCCTTTAAATTTCGGGTTAAAACACAGGGATCAGTTCGACCAGTAGTATAGATATGTCAATCATTTTATTAAAATGCCAAAATTCCTCAGTTTAAGGCCACATGTCAATTTTTACAACACTTCTCTTTAACTTCACTTCTTGTTTGTCTGTTACAATTATTGTAATCGATATTTAACACATTTCTACCTGTCCAATCGACCTGAAATTTTGCAAACTTGCGTAAAGTCGGAGACAATGCATGAATCAACTGACGGAATAATTAATTTTGAACATTTATTTTTTTTTTATTTTTTAAACAATTAAAAATTATTTTTTTAATATACGAAAATAAAATTAAAAATTCATTGTACATGTGTAACATCGAAGACACTGGATTCTTAAGATGCGTTTTATTTAAAAAGTAATTTTGAAACGCATATTTTTTAACTGAATTGAGATCTGATAATTGAATGAAAATGTTTAACTGAATTCATAATCTAATAATTGCGATTATTTGAGATGAAAAAAACTTACAATATAAACTGACCGTAAATACGGGCCTGGGCAAGTTGTGGTTATCTTCTTCAGTTATTTGCGCCTCATGTCGCTGGACGGCGAAGACTGGCGAGTGATCGTTGGCGTCAAGCACCTCGACTGTCACGTGAGCTTCGTTGCTGCCGATCTTGCCATCCTTGCTCGTTGCTACAACCGTCAGGTTGTGCTGAGGAAAGGGAATGTCCGCTTATTCTAAACAATTTCGGAAAAATTGTCAACTGAAATTGATGCATTTATGGAATTACATCATTGTCTGAGAATAATATTTACTGTATTGTCCGAATTATTAATGATGTTAGCGCAAATGTATGATATTCAGCATTGCCAACGCCCGTAAACAATGTTGAATCTATTCTCGTTGTATAATATTCATATATTTCTGCAGAAACGTTATCCCAAAAATACAATGTTTCCTAAATAATCCTTACCAAAAATAGTATGTCCTACCACATAAACAATTCTATCCATCAACCCCTCCGTATTCATAAATAACCACCTCAACGTTCGGTTATCATCCACTTTGCTTAGATATGATCTTCATGCAAGTCTCAGCGCAATTTCTTCATCCAATTGACTTGCAGAAACCCTCGCGTCGTGGCTGCTGCCCTCAACCAGCCCTCTGATGGCACGGCACTCGAGTCTCTCCCTCACCTGAGTTTGGTACTCGAAGTCGAGGGGACCAAGCAGCTCCAGGGCGCCTGACTGAGCGTCCACTCGAAAAAGAGGGGAAGCGCTGTCGCTCGCAAGCTTGTAGAGCACGGCCGCATCTGCCGGGAGAGATTCCAAGGTTCTCATGATTATGCGCAATTATATTGATTTGATAAGAAAAGTCTGCGCAACTGCCAGACAGTAAGAAAAGTTAACAAATGTTTGCTGTGGGGGTGATTAATGTGCAATTAATTTCATTACTGTCTCCTTTTACAAAGTCTCGAATAGATTGACTGGTTTCTCAGGGTGGAATAATTCGACACGCATTGTGGTTCTTGCCAACGGTTTCTGGCGAGCACGAAATGTTCATTAGTTAAATATATTAAGAATAATCCAAGCATATAAAGATTTCGACCGATAATCATACAAATTGCAAGGCAAGTATTGAAGCTAGGGGTTGAGTAGATAAAATTCACCAAATTACTGAGGCAAAGCTCGGCAAACGCGATTGGTCCGGTACCTCATCGTCAAGGGCTGCCTTGCCCAGCTAATATGCCAGGGAAAGTAACTAAAATTTTACATTGAGAGCACAGGCGAAAAGCCTTAACAACTTTTCTAACTAAATCTTAGAAGTGGTTAACGACGGAAAAATAAATTTCTAAAGTTTCCATCATCGGCAGAGGTGATGAACGAAAGAAAAAATAAAGTAACCCCTAAGATCCAAAAATGAATAATAGTAATAATCAAAAGCCAAAAATAGTGAACGATTTAGCGCACCTGGAATATTGACTGGAATAGGTGAAAAATTGACCATAAGCCTATCTAAAAACCAGAGTTTGTAAACACAGAGAAAGTTAAATTGAAATAATATCATATACAGTAATTACGTAATTGTTAGGCTCAAATCAATTTATGAGAACAAATGAGCTCTACTTTGCAGATTGGATTTGTAGACAAAGTAAGTAATCATTTTTTTCTGTACTTGGACTTGCTTCAGATCTGATAAGAAATAATTTAATTATTACTGGAAATTGAAATAGCAATACCATTTATGACCATATTTATATCAATGTAGTGTTTGTTTAATTTGTTCATGAGTCAACCTGCTTGCCTCGTTTGTCTTCAAGAAATTGCGGGAAACCATTAAGAAGAGCTAAGCTTTCGTTTTTTTTTCACGGCTCAAAGTTAGCCGTGCAAACATATTCATTTCATAAAAAATATCACGAAAATTCATTGATACATTGGTAATATTATGGTCGCAGCTACTCTTTCTCATAATGAACTCTCCAAGAGAATTAACCTTCATTGATGATTTACGTGAGTAAACCATTTAATGTAAAGCAGATTATTTACGGTGGATAAATTTGTTCAAGATTACTAAATCTTCGAGGCCTATTGAGCATATTTATCGTGATGCAAAATTACATTATGTTATAACGTTAATTACACTGGTGCTTTTAGAGAAGCCGACCGCGGCGCTGAACAACATTTACAAGGCAATTTCTGAGGGTTAATGTAATTTTATTTCGAAAAGCTTTCAGGAAGCACGAAGTTTAAACTTGCGTGCAAAATATGCCGGATAGAAAATTCGATCTATATATTGTTAAAACTTTTCGCCGATATCTAAAATGCTAATAGCTTAAAGGTTATTATTGAGACTGCTTAAGCAGGTAAACATAATAATAATAGAGAACTAAGTTTCAAACTTTAAACACATTCTAAATGCCGTAATGTGGATTTGAGTAAATAACTTCTAAAGACGTAGGTCTTTAACACATAATCACAAGTGGCTGACTCTTCTCTTATTAAATATGTACAGAACATTTCAAATGTAAAATAAAACATTTAACTGTCGTCAGATAGACAAAAACATATTTTCTAAAGTTTCATAAATCTGAAAATAACCATGCGTTAAAATATCAAAATTGTAATTAGACGATCAGCATGTGACAATGCTGAGCATATACTACAGCTATATTTTGCCGACTTAATCACGATTATTGCCGCATAAATGAAAGGATACATTTTCATCTAACACCGAACGTTCAATTGTATATTGAGATCCAGAATCAAGAAAACAGAAACCTAATGATAGTTAGGTTTCTGTTTTCAGTAAAAACAGTACCAATAAAATATTATCCGGGATAATACACTACAAACCAAAGTTACTTCATAGGTTAAAACTACGCACAAAAATGTCCGTACCATCATCAGGAGAAACTGCCTGTAGTAGAAGTATGGTGCCCGGGGCGGCCGCCTCAGACACCTGGACTACGTAATTCTTCTGGCTGAACTGAACCGACTGGCCGCTCATGAGCTGCGTCACTGCAACACAAGGTTTAGTCTGCAGGTTGTGTTCAAACTTGCATTGAGATTTACTTATTTGGAGCTTTGTACTGAGAAAAGCATGCGAATAGTGAATAATAGTTGGCACAGACTATTATTCACTTGCACTGATAATTTACCTATCTTCATTTACAAACATTATCAATTTCCTGTTATTTTCCTTTATAACACTACACTATATTGTTCTCAAATAACGTAAATAAGTTGGCAAAAATTTGATTCCAAGCTCAAGTTGTAAGACAAGGGCAATAAATAGATTTGTAAGGATGAATAAACAACCATGATTGAACGTTTGATTTTTTTATTGCTTACTAACTACCGATTACTCAAATTTCCTAAAAATTTAATTCTAAGACCAAAAACCCGAATTAATGGCAAAGATTCCATGCTAGTTGTACAATATGTTATTACCAATTATTGTAATCCAATTATTGAATTAACATCAACTTGTCACTAAAGCGTTACCGCATTCAGTATCAGTGCTTGTCTAAGAAAACAACTTTTAAAATTTTCGAATAAGTCAATGTCTTGACCTAAATTACGAATTCAAAAAACATATTTTCACGCGTAAGTAAAAAAATGAGTCGAGTGCTAGCGTAATTCATTTTCTGTCTTTTGTCTCTAGAGCCATAAAAAGTCTCAGATGTATTCTACACTCAGTTAGAAAGAAACTTAATCGAAAATTCGTCCCAAAAACTGTCGCTTTTAACAGCCAACACCGGCGCAAAAAAATGAAGCAGCATGATTGCCGTTGTAGACGGAGACGGATAACTTGTTTTCATTTCAGGCAGCCAACAATCAATCATAAGATAACGATCATATGCAGGTTCATCGTTGAGTAGCCTACCAACGCTCCGCAAGTCGTTTTGAATAAAAAGTACGAAAGAAAATTTCGAATTAGGTTACGTGACCTTATTAAAAATATAAAGTCGCAATTATGGGTGTTAAAAATTATTTTTATATAGCTTTTTCCTTATAAATAAAAAATTGATCGCATCTAGAAAAATTAAATTCGAAGGCGATCACCAAATTGCGACGCAGAAAATTTAACACATAGGCGACCTAAATACGAGTCCAATTATATTTCCCTTAATTTATCCTTTCATCGATTATAGCAGATGCGTATATGAGATCATACGCAATGTAAATAAAATATATAAAAATTATGATCGTTAACTAAAAGTCACTCCGTCTTAACTAACTTATAGCGTCTTTATCAGTAACTCGCTATGTCGAGCTACTATTTTTTTCTAATGTTTGTATGTTTGTTTAGGTGTTAGATGGCGTCCTTGAAACTTGCCGCTACACACACTAGCTGTTTTCCAAGCGCGTATCCACAATACCAACATTGCCGGGGTGTGACCGGGATATGTTATTTCCAGATGTGGAATCACGAGACTTTTCAAAACGTTGATAACGCGGCATTAAAATAAGAAATGACAAATCTTTACCTTAATTTAGTTCATAATTTAATCGAGAACAATTCGAAAATCGAATATCCATCAATCTTCTGAAACAAAGTTTGATGATTATTTGGTTTTAATTTTTTGTTAGATGGCATCATCCTTTTAATTGTTAATAGAAAAAAATTATTAATATAACATGCAATTATCATTAACATACGAATTCAGTAGTATTGTATTCCTATATATTACTGTAAATTATTAGGCTATGCAGCTGTTTTTTGCTAATTTTCGTTGTAAGATTTTTTATAACAATCCCGCCTTCATTTCAAATAATTTTTCGTATGTACGCTCCCTACTGAATATTGATTTCTAATAAAATACTGTGTAAATTTCCCACCACTGACCATCAAACCGATAAGATTAGGCGCGACCAGCGCTTAATCTCTGATGTGGGCGTTAAATTTGTTGTATCCGTCATTTAAGATGCTCATGCTGACTTACGTGCTGATTGCTCTCTTATAAGATTTTGACTCCGACGCCAGGGTGAGTTGCGTGAAATAGTGGTGAGATTTGAATATCTAGAGAAATACCGTGATTTTTATTTGAACATTTTATTTTGTTACGCGTAGGAATTTTCTTTTGTTTTCTCTTTTAGGATTGCGCGTTTATTCTCCAGCTCTCTCTCCGCATTCGATTTGCTATAGCTCTTGTATGCGATTTATTAATTCTCTTAGTACTTATATTTCGCATCCGTCTGTAAGATGGTTAGTTCGATTTGTTTTGCCTTAATTTACTGTTTATCTATAATTACGTTGAATTAAGCTTGTCTTTGAATTATCAATCCGTCCATAACATAAGCCAATAGGGAAGCATCTTTCAATTTCCGGTCACTGTTGGGCGTGACAATTAAGGATATTTTCACTTTTACCCCATTTTGACCCAAGGTGTTAAGCACCTCCTCAACCAATTGGTAAGTGTTCCTCGAAAGTCCTGCTCAGAATCAATATGTCGTCTATATATACCAACACGTTGTTGAAGCACACTTCTGATAACATTCTCTTCTGGAAGGCTATGCCGCTATTTTTAAGACCAAAAGACAAAGTTTTGAACTGAAAATGGCTATGGGGCGTGCTAAATGCTGTGTATTTACGACTGCTCTGTTCTAAAGGTATTTGATAATACCCTTTTATGAGGTCTAGTTTGGTAAAAAATTTACTATTATGAGCGCTATATATTTGTTCTGCTAAATCTGGCATTGGGAATTTCTCTGTAACTGTACGCTCGTTAAGTTTCCTATAATCTATGCACATCCTAATCTCTCTGTCTAAACTACCAGGGCTTGGCTTCTTCATAAC